TCTCTCTCTCTCTCTCTCTCTCTCTCTCCCCCCCCTCTCCCCCCCCACCCACTCGCTAACGGAGGAATTTATTCCGTAATTGTGGAAATAGGAGGAGAGGTGGAGATAGTCGAGTCCTCGCATCAATAACGAAAGTATTATTATTCCGCCCCCTCGGCCCCCCTCTTGGAAAGTAATCAATTGCACGGAGAATTCGAGTCCCATCTACCTGTTTCATTCGGGCCTCCTCCTCCTCCTCCTCCTCCTCCCCGTATGAATAGGTAGGTACAATGGATACGTACGTGTTGGAAAATGCGATCAGGAGGAGAGAAGAAAGGAGGGTGCGGGAGGAGGCAAAAAGGAGAAATGAATAGCAGCGGATCAAGTGGAGAAACAAGGGAAAAAGAGGAGAGCGGGGAGGGAGAGAGAGAGAGAGAGAGGCTTAGAGACATACATATATTGGGAGGAGGTGGAGGTGGAGGAGGTAGGGAAGAAAAAAAAGGAAGGTACGATTAAAAAATAGATTCGAGGGAAAATAAAATCGAATAAAAGGGGGATGATAATGAGTGGGATGGAATTAATTTAATTAAATTAAGGGGGAGCGCGATATTATCGGGCAGGAACGTGGAAGCAGCGTAGTAGTTGATCATTGGGTCAGAATTTTGCAAGGGTTTTTTTGTATAAGTATTATTATCGCGACTTCTGTGCGATTCCTTTCTCTCATTCATCGATTCCCAAGCCCACCAGATTAATAATTTACCACGGTTCTCGCCACTTGCTATCTCCCCTGCCTCTCCTGTCCCCCCCTCTCCGTGGACAGGGAATCATCGTTCGGTCACGAACGAATGCAATCGCGGAAAAGGATAGCCGATAAATGAAACAACATCGGGATTTTTGCAACGCTACTTTCATTAAAAATCCCAAACCATTGCTCTAATTTAACACTGTGTAATATTAATATTATACAATTTGGTATAATAATGATAAAAATGTTTTCGAAATTGAAATTAACGCAACACTCTCGAGTTTCATCACACGTTCCCCTTAAAAAATTCGCGTTAGACAGAGAGAGAGGGAGAGGGAGACGCGTTTGTTTGTTAAACACGTTCGAAACAAAGAGAGAAAGAAGGAAAGGGGGAAGAGAAGGGGGAGCGAAAAAAGGAAGGTCTCCTTTTTTTAAATCCCGCGGCTCATTCTATCAGGCTAGACCTGTCGATGCATGCCGGAGGCGTGAATTCCGCGAAATTGAAGCTTTGCTCCTCAATTAACCCCCGGAAAAAGGGATGATGCCTCACCGGGGAAAAACAATTGATACGATCTCGTTCGCATCGCCCGCTGCACCCGTGCAAAACGCATTCAGCTTTAAAATCGCCTCCCCTCTACTACTACCCTTTGCACACCCTCGCAGGCAGCAACGAGGTGTACTTTATCGCCGACACGTGGACCTGGTATTATTCCCCCCGAACACTTTTCGCGTTAAAAGGCAAAGTTTCGTTTGCGTGTACACAAATTTTTCTCGAGAAAAATCGTGGACTCGTCCGGTTTTTTCACCCCTCGCGTGATATATAATTTGACGTGATATAACGATCGTATCGGACACAATTGGATACCTCGACCCGCTTAAAAAATTAATTCCAATGTTAATCAATGGTGCTCGACATATTCCCTCCTTTTCAACAATTAACAATCATCGGGTCGCATCGGATCGATTGAATTGAATTAGAAAAACGACCACGAATATTTCTTTCTTCTTTCTTTCTTTTCTTCGACAAAATTTCCCCCCTAATAAATATCAACGTTACCACTCCGCTTAACGAGTTGGCCAAGCTTCGCGAAATTCGCCACATTTATCCGCGATACACAGATCCCAGAAATTCGATTAGCCGGCCAAGGAATTAGCCGGATTACGTAGAACGTATTTCTCGTCTCGCGAGTAATAATTCGAAAATTTCCAGGATCCCATCCCTTCTTCGCAAAGAACAACTTCGCAACAACATCGAAACGGAAGGAAAGGGGGGGGGGCTCGTTAACCTCGAGCAAGTGGCGGACCAATTCCAATTCTCTCCATTGTTTCTTCGATCATCTCCTCCTTCTCTCGGACCGACCGCCACCGATTTCTTTTTTTTTGCCATATTTGCATCGCGCGCAGGGTGGGCCCAAAGGAAGGGTCTTTGTTTGTCGGGCTATTGATCACATTTTCTCCCGCGGTATAATCAATCTTCGCACACGCACACGCGGGGGGAGAGCCGCGCTCTTACGTGGCCCGCGGCGCACACGTGACCGCGCCGCCGCAACACCGGGCCTCCCTCCCTCCCTCCCCGTGTTATCAA